CCTCGCACAGCCTCCTGCAGGCCCGGCTTTTCCATCTCTCTGGGCGACGCAGCCCCACTCTCTCTGGAGCCGCCCCTCGTTTCCTCTCACGGGCGTTGTGGTTTCGTCTTTGATTTCAGGTTCATTCACGTTCATTCAGCGCAGCGCTGTCACGCGGATTCCCACGTGCCCACCTCTGGGCCTCAGCGCGGCCCCCGGGCTGCCCGCCCCGGGCTGGGCCGAGTGGCAGGAGGCCGGGGAGCCACGGTCCAAAGCAAGCGCCCTTGGGTGGCCGGCGAATGGATGGAGCCAGAGGAGGCCCAGCGGGTAGGCCCAGTGGTGGGGGGCAGAGCTCAGGCCCCCAGGGACACACGCGCCTTAGCAGGAGGCGAGGGCCAGGCCTTCCAGAAAAAGGCAGAGAAGGCAGAGGTGAACGGAGGGAGGAGCCCGGGCAGGAGCAGACCCGCCCTGGTCGCGAAGGCAGCAGTGCAGCTGGGTAGCTGGGGGCCATGTCCCAGCCGAGGGGTCAACTGAGTCCCGGGGATTGAAGTGTAGGATAAAAGAGCTTTGGTGGCAGAATGGGAAGCCCTCCCTGACGATCAGAACCGTGAGAGGAGGGGGGTCCTGGGTGAGCAAGACAGTGGGGCTCGGGTGAGGGCCAGCCCCCCTGCCGCTGCCTGTGGCCCCACTGCCGCGGCCCCTCCCCCACCAGCAGCCGAGCGTGTCTCCCCCAGCCCCTCGTAAACGTCCTTTTACTCACACTGATTTGTAAAATGCAAGACAGGTGCTAAAAATGAAGTTAGCAGCACTTACGGGTGAGTTTGTACCTGCTTCATCCCAACAGCGGCGCGCTGCCCGGCCGGCTTCGCCCGACACTGCGAGTCCGCTGCTCACAGACTCACTGGCCTCTTGATAGCAGGCGGCCCCGCCACCAATTCCTTTTGTGTTGTTCTTCAATATTTAAGTCTGAAAGGTTATAGACTTGAAAAGCAGTTGCTTACGTAGAAGAATAAAGAATTCCCACGTTTCCGCCACTTGGCTTCCCGAGTGGAGGCTACACGTGCCTGCTTCTCTGCCCTGCCCCCGTCTGCCTGCCGGTCCCTCTCTCTGTTTCTCGCTCTCTCTGCACAGTGTTTCCCTGAGCTGTTTCAGATGTGGTACCCCTTCCCCACAAGCTCTCGCGTGTCCCCTGCGGTCACAGACCCAGGCACCCTCTGCGGGGCCAGGCACAGTTGTCCGCCCAGAGAGTCAACGGCACGCCCTCCAGTCGGCTCTCCAGACGACAGTCCAACGTCACCAGTCACAGCGTCCTTGATAGACGTTCAAGGACACCTGGCGTGTTGTCTCTGGCACAGGGTGGGGTGGGGGCCCCGCTGGATGTTGGGTGGGGTCCCCTCTGCTCCAAGAAGCCCCGACACCTCACCTGCAGGTCGTTTCTCTAGTGAAGTGTCCTTACCCCCGTGACACCATCTGTGTCTTGTCCTGTATGCAGACATGTTCTCTGGTGCAGGCATTCAGCCCAGACAGACCACCCCACCTCCCAGGAGGCCACTACCGGTCTTTGCTGACGTGAGGCATAGAGCCGGCCTGCCCTCCGCGTCTGGTCACGGCTGCTGGGAGGCGTCCGTGCAGACAGGGCTGCAGGAGAAAGGGTGGGGCAATCGGGCACCATCTTCACGGCCTCTGCTGGGGAGGGAGCATGTCCCCCGAGTTCATGTGCTGGGTGGTGTGGTGTCAGGAGGGGCCCTGGGAGTGATGAGGTCGGGGTGGGGCCCCTGCGACGGGACGAGCGTCCTCAGGAGAAGCTCTTTGGAGGGGACGTGTGAGGGCACAGTGAGAGGACAGCATCTCCAGACCAGGATGAGAGACCGGACACCAGCCTGGCCGGAACCCTGACCGGCACCCTGACCTTGGCCTGGCCTTCAGAAATGTGGGGACAAACGTCAGTGTCTAAGCCGGCCGGTCTGCGGTGTTTGTTACGGTGGCCGGGATGGACCGAGGCGCTCTGACCAGGGAGCAGAGAAGGGCCACCCCGGCAGGCCGGGGCACAGAGCTGGCCGCAGAGGTGGAGCTGGGAGAGACCAGCGTGGAAGGGGCACTTCGCAGGCTGGGCAACGGAGTGGGAGCCGAGCTGCCCGAGGGCCTCAGGTGGGACCCCCACAGGTGGGCTCCGGCTTTGCACCCTTCGCCCAGTAACAGACCTGCCCACGGCGACCGAGCGAGGGTCTGCTATGTCCCCAGATGCCGACGCCGAGCTGAGAACGGTGGGCATATGTCTAGAGGGGACACAGGGCGGGGCGCAGAGCGAGGAGGTGGGGGCCCTGGACCCCCCACCCACCCTGTAGGCAGTGTCCCCATGTGTGGCCACTTGGGGTCTCTGCAGGGGCACCTGGGATCAGGAGCCACAGGTCGTGGGGAGGCTGTGGGCAGGTCCCACTGCAGCAGCTCCAGGAGGGGCTGGCTCACGGGCAGCGTCTCTACGTGTGGACGGCAACAGTGGAGATGGTCCCGCAGACGGTCCTGCACCTTTGGGGACGGCCTGGACCTTGGCTGTGAGGGGTCCTGCCTGGGGCAGGTTCAGTGGGGTCCACCCACAGGCCCCCACTCAGTCTGCTTCCCAGCTGCTGCTGGTGCAGGGAACAGAGTTTCCATGGAGCGGTTTCTACTGGCTTCCGCACTGACCCCGTCACGTTGCCCTTTGGAGATGGGCACCTGCCCCAGGGGGGCACCCGGGGGGATCGGGGTCACCTGCTGTCCTCACCCCAACATTCGCAGACAGGGTGTGACGAAGGCCAGCCCCTCTGTAGAGGCCAGTCTCCTGGAGTCTGGAGGGGCAGAAGGGCCTGAGAGGCCAGGTGGCATGTCCAGAGGTGGACGCAGTGCAGACAGAGAATGAAGACCACCCTGGGTGCAAAGATAGACCGGGGGCTTTGACAAATCTTCCTCCCCCAGGCAGCGCTCCCAACCTTTCACCCCGGAGAGAGTTCTAGAATGTGGCTAACCCTGCCCAAAGCTTCCCCAATTACTTGAATGTAGGTGCCAGGGAAGGGCACTTGGCCGCCTGACGGGAGGTGGGGGGACAGCGAGCCTGTGTTGCCCCTTTGTCCTCACTGCCCCTGTGGCTGGTAGAATGCTTGCCACCATGTACGTCCTTGGGCTCCTGGGCACACGGGCCAAGCCTGGGTCTTCGTGGCCTTTGTGGTCACGTGGTGGAGGGAGGCAAGGAGTGAGCCTGGGCAGGGACTGGAAATGCCCCCTTCCCTCGGACCGTCCACCACCCGTGGGAAGGGCAGTGATGCGTACGCGGACACACAGGGGAACCAGCCCCTCCTGTCTGCCGAGGACCCCCCTGAGCCCAGGGCAGCCAGGAGACTCCCGACAGTGGCGCGTCTGGCTCGGTGGGCATTGCGGGGAAGCCACCTGCGCTCCCCCTAAAACCACCCTCCCGGTCTCAGCCTCCACGCTGAGATGGAAAATGGTACGTGCTGCCAAGGCCGGCACGGTCTGCAGCCTGTGAGGCCAGGAGCTGGGGAGGGGTCGGGCGGCCGCGGGGGCCGCAGGGTGGAACCCGGGTCCCAGGGCCATCACGGCCTCTGGAGGAGGAGGCCCGATCCACCCGCAAGCCACACAGCACACTGCAGGCCCTCTGAGACTGTCCACCTGGAGGGGACACGTGTCACCTCCCCTCACATCTCCTCCATCTGAGCAAGGGGCATGACTGTGCTCACCTGCAGAGTAAGTGGGGAGCGGATGGGGGCGGGGGACGGACCACGGGGTGATGCCGAGGCCTCTGAACCACAGACCGCAATGGGCCTGAAGCCCCAGCTGGGGACATGGGCCCACAACCGCCTGCCCAGTCTCGTCCCACTGGTCCAGGGCATCCTCCCTGACAGCCTGGTGTGGAGGACGGACGAGCAGCCCCACAGGAGGCCTGTGTCCGGTCTCTGTGGGGGGAGGAGGCCGCACCAGCTGGACACTGGAGAGGAGCCGGGATCTGCACTCTCAGGGGACCGCACCAGGTTCTGGGGCACAAGTGAGTGACGGCAGCGTGTTCTGGGCTGAAAAGTGCTGGACGAGGGCCAGCACGCCTTGCTGCCACGTCCAGGTCGCAGGCTGCAGAGCTAGCTAGCAGCGCACGTGCCCCCGTGCGCCGGCCCGTCTGGAGGAGCCGCTGCGAACCCGTTTCCATGGCGGCTCTGTGACCACCCTGACCACGGGGCCGCAGGGCTCACCTGGGAAATTAAAGATCCTGTGTTTTCTAAGGTTGTGTGATGTTCTTTGGGGCCTTTTTCTTTTAATGAACGTGCACAGGAATCTAATTTTCAGTGCAGCTCGAACAGTGGGATGTATTTGGTGCATTTATATCAGGAAATACTGAGGGTTTTCTTGGTGAACCCAGGTGACTGTAAACAACACAGGCTCATAGATGTTTGATACAGTTCTTAATTGATTTGCGCAAGATGTTTGCGTTAAATGAAAAGTTTTCCAAGCATATGTGCTTTAAAACTAATTTATTTCTTGGTGTCTTGCCTGGGACTTTTTCCAAAATAATCCTAGGGTGGGGGTAGCGGGAGGGTCACAGACGAGCAAGACTGGCCGCCAGTCAGGAGCTGCTGGAGCTGCCACGAGTGCACGGCGGGGCTTGGAATGCGATGGGTGGTTTAAAAGCTGCTTTATTTACCCTTTGAGCAGACAAGGTCATTTAAGGTATCAGAGCAATTCCTGGAGCTGCTCTCAATAACGAAATGAGGTCAAACGCTACGGAACTAAGAAGAGTTTTTGCATTTTTTTTACAGTTAGTGAAAAAGTTCAAAGCCAGCGAGCTGAGTGGGACCCGCAGGCTGTGGTCTGCAGACCCTGCTGAGGTGGAGACATGTCTGAGACAAAAAGGAAGGCGACAGGCCCCCGGTGGGCACAGCAGCCCCGTTCTGGGGGCCCAATCTGATCAGACATGAAACTGCAGTTCCCATGAGTGGAGTTTAGTGGGGCCATGATCACGGGATTCTTGCTGTCTGCCCTCCGACGCCCTCCCCACCCGGTGGAGCCGGGGAGTTTGCAACACAGATGGACGGACTATTCTCGGTTTCCCCTTTAGGCCGCAGGGCCAAAGACGTCTACCATCTAGAACGTCTCAGAGAACGTCTGCCGCGCCCCGAGCCCCGAGTCCTGTGTCTGTGTGGATTCCAGCTCCTCCCTCCTGGAGCTGTGTCGAGCAGGCGACAAGTTAACTGCTGCCAACAACAGCTACTTGTATGTCGCTTTGGTTATCGCCCTCAAAACAGTCTGAATCCATGTCGGCGTGTCCCTTTATTGGACGTTCCTAGATCTGCCTCCTTGCAGAAAGCTCCCCCAGAACCTAAAAACCTGGTCCGCCCCAGGTGTGCGGGCTCCCCACCTCCCACCGGGTTCAGGCGGCACCTGGTCTCCCCGGCTGTCCTGATGCCGCGGGCAGAGGACTCGGCCACGGCCCTGCCCGGCCCCTGGGACGCAGGGCGGGCTCTGCCCAGGGTGTCTGTGTTCCTCGCTGCCGCCTGCCGAAGTGCCCACCTCGAAACTCGACCAAGGACACACCCTTGAAGGCGCCCGCCCCCGAACAGGCTGGAGGGCGTGTGGCCTGTCCTCCCTCGCCGCTCACACTCCTCTCATTACCCACGAACTCCACTCAGTTAAAGCTGCCTGTCTCCGACATGAAGAAAATTCAGTCCTGGGGTGCTGTGGTCCGAATGCCCCAAACTCGTGTGCTGAAACCCTAACCCCAAGGTAACGGTGCGAGGGGGCTTCACCTCATGGGGTGGGTGACGCCTCGCCCCATCTGTCCACCCTGTGGGAGACAGCAGGACGACTGCCCACGAGCTGGGAAGGGGCTCCTGGACGCCACGTCTGCCGACACACGGTTGCGGGCTTCAGCCCCCAGAACCAAAGCCCCGGGAGCTGGCTGGAGGCCCAGGATGACTGAGACGGTGGGAGGGCGGGAGTGTGAAACGGTGCAGCCGTGTGGAAAACAGCAGGCAGGCGCCTCAAAAAGTTAAACGCAGAACTACCACGTGGCCCAGCAATTCCACATCTGGGTACAAACCCAAAAGACATGAAAGCAGGGTCTCAGAGAGATACCTGTAACCCCACGGTCGTAGCACATCCGTGCACAGTGGCGAAGAGGTGGAAGCCACCCAGCCAGCGTCCACCTCGAAGGCTCGGTGGATGAGCAGTGCGGCCCACCACTCAGGCTTGGAGAGGAAGGCAGTGCTGACGCCTGCGCCAGCGCGGGTGACTGCGAGGACGAGACGTTCAGGAGATGGGCCCTTGCAGAGGACAGGCCGCGGGACAGACCACGGGAGTCCACTCACGTCAGGCCCGGAATCATTGGCTCCACCAGCTGGGCTGTGGCTCCAGGGGCCAGGGGGCCCGTGTTTAATGGGGACAGTCTCGGTTTCAGAGATGAGACCTTGGTGATGGTTGAACTGCCGTGTGAACGAACTGAAGGCCTGAGCTGCGCCCCAGAAAGTGGTTGGTGGGCACGTCTCACGCGCTGTGCGTGAAGCCCAGTCAGAGCCAGCGCCCGCCGCCTGGCTGCCTTCCCCGGGCAGGACGTAACACACTCTCCTGAGTTTTCTCAATGGCTGCCGACGAGACTGATTTGGGGAAAGAGCCAAGTAGTACTCAGGGTCCAGTCAACACACAGTCTTGAGTTCAAAGCCACACACAGCAGTGACCCGGAGCGACTTGGAGGCTCTCACGAGCGGTCATCAGGCAGCGTCCCTGAGGCCGGGAGCCTCCCGGCGGGGGCCTCGGGGGCCAGCACCCTGCCCCCGCCACCTCCCAAGCCGGCACTTCGGCCGTGGTGCCTCATGAAGGAAGGCTGCTTTCGTTTCTCTTCATGACACAAAGTTAATCTTAATCAAAAACAAATGAGGCCACTTGCGGGCAAACGCCCTTGTGCATCGGCTCGTGCCGGCGACTAAGGCCAAGGCTCTGGGGGAAACGCAGAGCGCTTCCAGCGGCTGGAGAGCTGTGCTTGATGCTTGACCGGGTGTCCCCCCCCCCTCCCCGTGCACACTGACCGTCAACCCTGCGGAGTGGGAGGGGAGTCACTGCCCCGGGACCACGCGTCTTGGCATGCCTCCGCGGCCCCGCGCACTGGGGGTCTCACGGGCAAGCCCCCAGCGTAGAGGACCGACCGCACAGCACCGAAGGGCCAGCATGGACTGAACATCCTCCATTTAGAAGCCCCTTGGCCGGTTCTGCAATTAAAGCATTTCTCATTCCACTTATGAAAGATTCATTCTGAGTGTGTGTGGTCTGAGGTGCTGTGCAAACAGCCCGTCTGAGGTGAGCTACCTCTGCCCACGGGGTGCAATCTCCAGGGCTCTGCCATTTCCCCCTTCCTGGGAGAGGCAGAGCCAGGCAGCTTCCAAGCCCAGCTCCCCTGCCCCGAGCTCCTCTTTCCACACATCTTCACGAACCTTCAGTCCACCCTGAACTGCTGGCAGGTCTCTGGGGATGCAGAACAAACAGGACACAGCCCACAGCCCCGGCCACCCCGGGGCCCAGAGAGAGGAGAGGGCGTTGACTGCCCGGGGCCCCCGGCACCTTCTAACCACGGCTCCCACCTAGTCTCGGGGGCCCGGCAGGTGGGCAGCCAAGGAATGGAGTGAGTGCAGGATTTTGGCTTCTCTGTGCTGAGGGTGCCTGGCGGGGGCTGTGGAAGGTTTCCAGGGCCCTAGAATTTTGAAACTTTGTCCAGCAAGAGAGAAACTCCATGGGAAGAGCCAGGGCCGTGAGAATTTGGTGGCAGACGCAGAAACAGCACCAGGGGCACACTTCGGGGCGCCTGCCCTCCGCCCA